AGAATATAATCAATCTGATTTTGATATTGCCCATCTGGTGATTTCCATGTGTAGAGTCGCCTCTTGTGTTGTTGGAAAAGAGTGTTTGTGATGACCAGCTTGTTCTCTTGACAAAACTTTATTATCCTTTGCCCTGCTTCGTTTTGAACTCCAAGGCCAAACTTACCTGTTGTTTCTTTTATCTCTTGACTCACTACTTTAGCATTCCAGTCCCCTACAATGACAAGAACATCTTTCTTTAGTGTCAGTTTTAGAAGGTGTTGTAAGTCTTCATAGAACTGGTCAATTTCAGTCTCTTCAGCATCGGTGGTTGGTGCATAAACTTGGATTACTGTGATTTTGGAAGGTCTGCCTTGGATTCATACTGAAATCATTCTATCATTTTTGAGATTGTATCCTAGTACGGCTTTTCCCACTCTTTTGTTGACTGTGAGGGCTCCTCCATTTCTTCTGCGGGATTCTTGCCCAGAATAGGAGATATGATAATAATCTGAATTGAACTGGCCCATTCCCATCCATTTTAGTTCACTGACACCCAGCGTGTCAATGTTTATTCTTGCCATCTCCTGTTTGACCACATCCAGCTTACCATGGTTCATAGATCCTACATTCCAGGTTCCTATGCAGTCTTTTTCTTTGCCGTATCGGACTTTCCTTTCACTTCCACGCGTGTCCGCAGCTGAGTGTCCTTTCGGCTTTGGCCCAACCACTTCATTAGCTCTGGAGCTACTTGCCCTTGTCTTTCGCTCTTCCTCAGTAGCATGTTGGGCGCCTTCCGGCCTGAGGGGCTCATCTTCCAGTGTCATATCTTTTAGCCTTTTGTTTCTGTCCATGGAGTTTTCTTGGCAAATATACTGGAGTGGCTTGCCAGTTCCTGCTCTGAGTGGATTGCATTTAGTCAGAACTCTCCACTATGACCTGTCCATCTTGGGTGTACCGGCACGGCATAGCCCATATCTTCTCTGAATTACTCAGGCCCCTTCACCACGACAAGGCAGCAATCCATGAAGGGGTTGTCAGTATAAATTAGTACATGTATAAATTTGGTCAAGTCATGTATGACTAGAGAAAGGTTAGTTAAATAATAGGGGTATAGTATGAGAGCTGGCTAGAGAGCTCAGTAAGTTAGGTGTCCGGCCACAGAGGCAAAGGTTAGGAGTTCAGTTCCTCACTGTGTTTCTGGGGAGAACAGCCAGCCTGTGTGGCATTGGACAAGCTGCACAGTCCCAGGATGCCCCCGGAAGAAGGGAATGGTAAATCACTTCTGAGTACTCTCTCCCTTAAAAACCCTGGAAAGGGTCACCATGAGTCAGAACTGACTTGATAGCACATAATTATTATTAAGTATGAGAACTGCAAGTGGGCTTTACTAATTGAGGGACTGGACTTTCAGTTTTCATGATTTTATGGTTTGCTGAATATTTTATGGTTTGCTGAATATAACAATGTTCGGAAAATGCACAGTTTTGAATGATATGTTTAAGGAATGGTCACAGGAGTGCATGGAAGGTCTTTTCATACCTAATTCTTTAATATTGTTTAAACAATAAGAACAGATGTTTAGTACAGCACTTTTATATACGATAAAACTAAGGTATTGAAATTGTGCCATATGTATGATATTTTATTAGAACCAGCCATGTAGAATGAAAATCTTTTGGTGTTTTGCTAGGTTATTCCACTCTCTCCACATGAATTATTGCCTGTTATACCAAAGGATGTACAGATATTCTTTATAAGGAAATCCTGGGATGGAAAAAAGTTTAAGCCGCTGTCACCTAGATTACTCGCAGAACTGAAGGACACTGTGAAAATGAAGAGCACAGATGTGAACTTTGCTACTGAGTATCATCTGATTCCCAAGCACAATGTTTGCTCTCTGGAAGTAGAACCTGAGCTGTTCGTTCACAGTGCCAGAAAAAGCCAGAAGAGCACATTGGAAGTAGAATCAAGGCACACGGCTTCTAAGTCATCACTGGTTAAGCAGAGACGTTCTGAAAGAATAGCCAAGGGCAATCATACCCCAGGAGCAAAGAAGAAATTACAGCTAAACAGTACGTTCATGGTTACTTTGATGTATGATCATTGTCTGCCAAAAATTGTGAGCTGACAAGCTGATAATTCCAGATGCAGATAAATGATTTGTTTATCCTGCTTTTCTTTAAAGAAGAAACACTTGTTTAAAGAACGAATGAAGAGAGAGGGAAACATTCATGAATAGTTCTTGAAAGAAAATTGCATGCTGCAATTTTGTGAATGACTATTCTCTGCCTGTTTGTTTAAAATATCTTTTCTCCGGTTTTCTCCTTAAAAAGATCCCATGGCAGCTTATGTAATTAAAAAGACAATAATTAAAAGCTAAAAAAGGAAGTACATTAATATTTTTTAAAGAATTAGACAAATGTTATACTAAAGACATTTTAAAAAAATCAATACTAAAAACACATTTAAAAGCAAGGCACAAAAATCCATTTTAAAAAACCCTGACAGACAGCGAGTCACTAAGGGGAAGCTTGCCTGAAGAGAAACACCTTTGTCTACTTGCAGAAAGACAGCAAAGATGGGGCCAGCCTGGCCTGTGGGAGGGTGTTCCAGAGTCTGAGAGCAGTGATAGAGAAGACCCTCTTCCATGTCCCCACCAAATGCACCTGTGAAGATAGTGGGACCAAGGAAAAAAGGCACCCCTAATTACGTCCAGGCAGGTTCATAAAGGGAGATGTGATCCTTAACATAGTGATAATCAGTATCAATTTTCAGTGAGCTGCTCCATATAATACTTCTTCCTTCCACATAAGGTATCCTGGAAGAATTTCTATGGAGAAATTCACATGGTAAAATATTTTTATCTGCACTCCTTAATAGCTTCTGAATAATAAATAATTATAGGAATATTTCTTGCTGCCATAGTGCATGTTACCATTTGTGCTGTTGCGGGGGGGGGGGAGAGAACTACTGTGAATTGGATGACCTGAGAATCTTTAACTATTAGACCACAGAAGGGAATTATGGTATTCCAGATACTGTTGAACTGCAGTGCTGTAGTGGCTAGGGCTAATGTGAATTTCAGTCCAACAAGATCCAGAGGATTATTGTTGCCTAAGGTCTAAAGTGTGTGCTTTTTTTGTGTACTGTATGTACTTCTCACTATTTTTAGACGGAACATGTGTTATTTTAAAGTATATGGATCTTAATAATGAGTTCTGTGTAATTTGCATATCTGGGGGAGATGGGTAGACGATTTGCAGAAGAGGCCAGTGGCTGGAAACCCCCCTCCAATAGAAAAGCGAAAGGTTTTGCTGGGGAGGGAGAAGCAACTGAATGTTTTCCCTCTGTTTCATCAGTTCCCATACAATCAGCAATAATGAGACTGTATATTGATAGTTTTCATAAGCATCCTAGTTGGAAAAATTGTATCACAACTCTTTTTAACCTTTTGTTAGACCGCCTCTTAAAAGTAGTTCAGAACTGATTGTTATATGAAGTAATTGTTAATAGTTGTTGTGGGTTTTTCGGGCTCTTTGGCCGTGTTCTGAAGGTTGTTCTTCCTAATGTTTCGCCAGCCTCTGTGGCCAGCATCTTCAGAGGACAGCACTCTGTGCTCTGGTGTACATTAGATCCCAGCCGTGAAAGCCTTCGCAAATACATTGTTAATAAATAAGAACTGACTTTTACCAGTACAGTGGTGCCCCGCATAGCGAGGTTAATCTGTTCCGGATTAACCTTCGCTATGGGGAAACATCACTAAACGGAACGGAAAAGCCCAAATGGGTCCAAATGGACCCAAAACTCACCGTTCTGCGATGTTTCCCCATGTTCCGGTGGCCATTTTGGGTGTTCCGGCGGCCATTTTGGAACCGCCGAACAGCTGTTCCCCCATCGCAATGCGATAAAACATTGGTATGCTATCGCATTAGCGATCGCAAAATCCGCATTGCTATGCGGATTCATCGTTAAACGGTGTGCTCATTATGCAAGGCACCACTGTACTGATAGTTACCACTGAGCCTTGAGGCGCAGTGATTAAACTGCTTTTCTGCATCCAAAACTGCGCTCATGACCTGGGGTTCAATCCCAGGTAGCCAGCTCAAGGTTGACTCAGCCTCCTATCCTTCTCAGGTCAGTAAAATGAGTACCCAGCTCACAGGGAGGAGTGCAGTGTGTAGCCTGCATAATTAACTTGTAAACCGCCCAGGGGCAGTATATAAGCAGCACATTTTGCTTTGCTATTACCACGAGAATTGATTATTACCTAAATTACTATATTGATACTTTTGGTTTCTAGGTCCTACAAAATCTCCCCCAAGTAAATTTGCAGAACAAGACTTAATTGAACTTTTAGACTGTGATTTCACAGAACCTTTTACGCGATCAGCCCTCAAACGAAAAGTGAAATTCAGTGGCAATAAAGGTTCTCCCTCAAAAATATCTTGTGCTGCTGATAAGGGAGATCTCTTTCTAGACATCAAACTACTTGAAGACCATTCTGATGAAATGGACACAAGCCTGTCATCTCCTTGCCAGAGGAACCAAGAGTCTAGTCGGAAAACCAGGAGATCGGCTTTAAAAAACACTACTATTGAGTAAGTGGGAGTCAAGTGGCAGACTCTTAGGGGTGGCCATTTGTGGGACATGTACTTATTCTCTGTATTTTAATAAATAGTTTCAGATGAAGCAAGGGGAAAGAGATCCCAGATGGATGCCTTACATCTATGCACAGTAATTATGTAATCCATTACCACAGTAATTATGCTTTTCCTGAAGCAAAATTGATGGCATTAAAAAATATTAGTTAATAGGGTCAAGTAATAACTATACTAGAAAATTTGTTTCTTTTTTAATATATAAAATCAATTTGATTTTTAAAACATCTGTATTATGTTGGTATGATATACCAAAAATAAGCTGCATCTTACTTGAAACAACTTCTCAAAATAGAATCTGAGACTATGGATGAAATCCTGTTCCATAAATTACTCTGCATATGGTTGATGACATCATTAGCCATGATTTTTCAGGGGAAAAACCCTCCACCCCTCTTGGTCCCAAAGCTCTTGTATAATCCCTTTTATTGTGGAGAAGCTATTGAAGGCAGCAGAACAAAAGGGAAGTCCTTAATTTCCTAAAATCACTGCTGCTGGTATATTGGGTCTCAGGATTGCATTCACAGTCTTTTAGAGATATTTTTTTGTTTTTCCTTCCTATTAGTTCAAGTGATACAGTGAAACAGAATGAGATTTGTAAAATAGCTAATGGATTGAAAGATTCAAAGAAACAATTAACAATTCTTCACAGCAACTCCAAGAATCAGCAAAGGTAGGTAATCTTACCTTAAGGATCCAAGGATGACGTGGATGAGCGTTTCATTTTTAATTGAACTTTTAGAATATGTTAGAAATATATCATCGTAGTTTAGTTTTACCTCATTTGTGTAATGAAATCCTTATTAGATCACACCTGGGTAAATACAGAGTATAGAAAACAGGTGGGGTACCTTTCAGAATTTTGGCCTATAAATCCCATCAGTCCTATGGCACATTAAAGAATTACGAGGGTTGTAAACTAAACCATGTGAAGTTCCTTCTCCCTGGTGAAAGGTTTTACATTTAATCCTTGGTAGTTTTTATATTGCTTACCTGCTAATATAAATAAATGTGTTGACCTTCATTTATTCAGTACAGATAGGGATATTTAGTAGCTTAGCTACTAGCTGGATGGAATAGAAATGTAAATAAATAAGTAAATAAATAAACAAACAAACAAACAAAATTTAGTTTTCAAATTATGTGATTTGCCTGACTGATTATGAAAGTGTGTGAACAAGAAACATAGGCTTCACTGTGTGCATTTCATATCTTAGTAATAGATCTCAGGGTAATTTGTAGTAGATGAACAAGGGATTTCAGTTCACAGTTGCTTAGAAATAGTGACCAAAAAACCATTTCACCTTAGACTTCTGTCATCAGTAGTGATTATGGAGTAAAGCAGATCTGGGTGTGCATTTATGTGTGAGGGTTCAGTTCTGAGTCTGAAAACAAAATCCTCAGAAGCACATGTTCTCTGTTTGCCTTTATACACTGCTTTTCTGCATTTGATTCAGATTTGTTGGACTTAAGGTTTTTCTTGTGAAAAACAAAGTAGACGCCAACGCTTCCTCTAATTTTCAGCCCCCTAGGGGTTCTGTTGTGACTAGAACCAAAAGGGACTGGAAACAATCACCGTGGGTGCACCGAGGTGGAGGAGGAGCCGTGAGCACTCGTGGAGCAATGCACCTTAGAGGGAACCTTGGCCACAAACCTAAACTCTGCTTACATCTTTTGTATCTCACTTGCCCATGGCAGTAAGCTTAGTTTTACATAAAGCAGTAAGCTTAGTTTTACATAACTTATTGATTCAGATGTTGAATCAATAAGTTATGGAAAATTAGTTTGCAGCTGACTGTTGTTCAAATAAGACATTGCCATTTGTGGGTTGTTTTTTTTTAACAGTTTGGGTGAAGAAGAGGTATTGACAATTGGGAGCCTAGCGGAAACTCCACGCTCACGTAGGAAATGTGCACAAATTACTGCTACACGCATAGCAGAGCAGCTAGGGTGAGTGTATTTTCTTTATAGGAACAGTTTTTCTGGAGGGACTTCACCAACCACGTGTGCTTTCTCTGCTGTGGAAATGCTTAAATAATTACTTTGTGGATATGTCTGCTTATCATTGCAAATATATTCAACTGTGTTAGATAAGAAAGGATTTTTGAAAGCTGGTCCAAAGTTGTTTGTGCTCTCTACAAAGTAAAACCAAATTAATTAGGTCAATTCTGGATCTGGCTGCTAGATACTAAATCACCTGTATAACCTTCCTGGCACTTCTTACTTTTATTAGAAAGCATCAGTGTTCAAAACACAAGACATGTTGGATCCCTGTCTCCCCTGTATAACCTTCCTGGCACTTCTTACTGTTATTAGAAAGCATCAGTGTTAAAAACACAAGACATGTTGGATCCCTGTCTTCCCCCTTAGTGTTTTAGGTACAGCTCTGGTGAAAGGCAAGGAAGAGGACTTCCTTTCCCCTTCGGGAAGTTCTGAGTCCAGTAACAGTGAGGATGAAAAAGAGGTAACCATGCCTGTTAGGCCCAAAAGGCTGACAAAGTCAACCCGAAGATCCTTGAGGAAACCATCTGGAGAAAAAACGCCCAGAGACTCGTGCAAGACTGTAAGATTCATGTCACAGACTTTATTCTGTTTTGTTTTTAAGTAAATTATTTGAGCAATTCTGTGTTCATAAAATGAAATGTAATGTGGAGAAAGTAGTTCAGCACACAGGGATATAACGTAGTATTTAACAGCAATTTAGGAAGAAAGGATGGCAACTCTTGGGAGCTGTTTAGTGATGAAAATGAAGACAACATTTTATCATGTCTCCCATTTTTCCAGGTTGAAAAATGGGCCACAAAAGGAGAGAGTTTCTTGTAGAAGGAGCATTACAGCTTCTTCCAGAGATCCATTCTTCCTCATCAAACCCTATGCTGAAATCTAAATTTTGGCTAATTGTCAAATAGTTCAGAATAGCCATTTTTGTTGCTGCAGAAACCAATAAAAGGTTTTGTAGCACTTAAAAGAGTGCTGAGAAAACGTGTGCATATCTGCTCAGATAATAAACTTCACAGAATTTGCTGGGACTTTCTTACAGGCAGTTGTTTGAGAGAAGATAGTGTAATCAGTTGTGTACCTAACAAATACAAAATAAATATTATTTCCAAACAAAAAGAGACGTAACCAGTTTTGAAATGTCAGCTTAAAGCAATAGTAAAAAGCTTCCACATCAATAAATACAACTAAAAAGTGGTATATTTTTTGCTGCGGATCAGGTATTAAAATTTAAAAGTTAGACAGAAAAGAAAGGCCTTTCTAAAATGAGTAATGTTGTATTTAATGGGTTTTTCAGCTTGAGTACCTCCACTTTCTGCCAATGTGATGAAAGAGCCCAGATAATGCCAGACCACATTTTAAAAAACCATAAGTCATGCTTCCTGTTTAGCTGCCACTTGTTGAAAAGATGCAAAAGTAAAGAAAATGGCCAGCATTTGGTTGGTTCGTTAGGCTGCCATAAGTGAAATGGCATTAATTACAGTGCCAAAACACCACTGGTTAAGAAGGGATATGAATGGTGCATGTTGATCAGCTATGTGAGTTGGTGTTCAGTGAGGTGCACAAAGAGCCAATTTACCAATAGCATTTCATCCCTGCAGTTTATGCCATCATGCCTATGTCCCAGTAACTGAGCAATAGGATTCTGGACATAAAGTAGCTTTTTAATATTTGGAAGTCTTTTTTGTATTTTAACTGTTGCATAAGGCTTTTGATGGTGGTCAGGTTTTTAGTTGGCATTCCTTGCTATGCAAAAATACAGTCCTTGTTTATTGGTATGTAAATCTACTTTTCCTTTATAGCCTGAGCCAAGAACTCCAAAGACTCCACGTAATGCTATCCCCAGAATCCGCAACCGGAATCAGACCGTACAGAAACCAGCCAGTGTGCTAGAAGAGGCCAGAATGAGGTAAAATGAGATGTTCATGACTGTGAATGCAAGAGGACACACAAGGTAGTGTAGTGAGAAGGATAGGGAATTACTGCTTATAGGTTGTATAAAGGGGCTTTCTTTCATTAAAACAAAACCTGCAATGACTTTTAAAATAAATGTATGTGCATATGGTGCATTCCCTTCATACTTTCTTCCCTGCCCATTTTAGCTCTGGTATGTCAATATGTTAGAAAGAACATCTACAGTGGTGTCTCGCTTAATGATGTTAATTCATTCCAGCAAAATCGCTGTAGAGCAAAAACATCATAAAGCGAAAATAAAAAACCCATTGAAACGCATTAAAACCCGGTTAATGCGTTCCAATGTGCTAAAAACTCACCGTCCAGCGAAGATCCTCCATTCGGTGGCCATTTTCAGTGCCTGTCTAGCGAGGAATCTGTCCTAGAAAACGGGGCCATTTTCTTCAGCCGGCGGCCATTTTGGAACCTGATGATCAGTTGTTTGCTGATCGTCGTAATGCGAAAAATCGGTTCCCAAAGCAGGAAACCGATCATCGCACAGCGGATTTTGCCCTTAGGAAGCATTGTTTTGCGATCACTTTTGCGATTGCAAAAAAGGCATCAGTAAGCGGATTCGTCGTTATACAGGGCAATCGTAAAGCGAGGCACGACTGTACAGTACATTACTTGCATAAGCTTCCTAGCCTTATCTCTTCTGTGCCAAGAGACTTAATGAGAACTCTTGCAACAAAGTTCCCAAATGTTTCCATAACCTCTGTTTCCTTTTTTTCCTCTCTGTCTTTATTCTCAGACTCCATGTGTCTGCTGTCCCAGAGTCCTTGCCTTGCCGTGAAAAGGAATTCCAGGATATCTATAACTTTATAGAAAGCAAACTCATTAATGAAACAGGCGGGTGAGTGCTGTCTTAGTCCCAGTAAACATTTGGGTTTCATTGAAGAGGAAGAAGAGAAATCCCAGTAATGTTTATGTGCCAGATCAGTGAGAAGAAGTACATATTTTCCTTAAAACTAATTTGCTCGTCTGAGATTTGTAATATCAGTTGCTCTGTCAGATGCTTTTTAAATATTTGTTTACATTTTTAAAAGTATGTAATTTGTCTTTGTAAATAGGCTTTCTGCAGCTAATAAAAGAAGCAGGGCTTGAAAAATTTTAGAATGTCTCGCCAGGTTTTGCTGAAAGACAGTGTATAACAATTAAGTGGCAATATTTATTTATTAATATATTTTACCTACAAAATAATGCCCTGTACCTAGTGGTCTCAAGATGTTATATCTAGAGGTCTTGTAAAGGAAAGGAACTCTTAAAGCAGTGGTCCCCAAGCTTTTTAACACCACAGGCCGGTTGGGGAAGGTGGGGCACCCGCTCGCGTTCACGAAGGGGCATGTATGTGCTCATGTGGGCACATGTGCGCATGTGCGAAGGAGCGAGGGTGTGAGCGCACGCACACTTGTGCACATGCGTGAAGGGTGGGGGCACTCAGGGGCACTTGCACGCATGTGCAAAAGGATGGGGGCACTCGCACTTGCGCATATGCATGAAGGGGCTGTTGGGGGATCTGTCTCCATGGTCCGGCCCAGGCAATGGACCAGCACTGGGCTGCGAACCGGGGGTTGGGAACCCCTGCTCTAAGGGGAAACCTGGCTTTTTGCTGCTAGCAAAGGAGATGGTACTGGGCTTGATGGAAACAAATTAGTCTAACCTGCTTGGTATAAAGTAATCTCTTGTTTCAGAAAAGTGGATAACTGAAACTTATAAGAATTCGGGCATTGAATTCAGTGCCTTTTTTCCTCACATTAGCAACATAGCCATTTGTGCTTTTTCAGATGTATGTACATTTCTGGAGTTCCTGGTACAGGCAAAACAGCCACAGTTCATGAGGCAATTCATTATCTGCAGCAGGCAGTGGAAAATAATGAGCTGCCATCTTTTCAGTTCATAGAGATTAATGGTATGAAGTTGACTGATCCTCACCAAGCCTATGTGCAGATCTTGAAGGTGAGCAAATGAATTGTATGTCTTCCTGACTGAAAAGGTCTTAACCCAGTGATTGAACATCTTTCAATACATATTCTCTAAAACTACTCTAAAGAACAGTACACTTCTCACCTGCACTTCCAGATGTGTAATCATGGTAAAAGCCATCCCATGAAGGACATACTTGCACCACCGTTAACCATCTAATTCTATAGAGACTGCAGAACATAACACTTGTGTTTTGGACGTGATAAATTGTTCAAAAAAAATTCTTATTTACAGCTTACTAGGTGTGATTTTATTAAATGTCTTTTGTGTTGCATTTTTAAAGTTTCAAAATTAGTATATGTTTATTACCTATTTTTATATTACTGTGATGTTTATGTTGCTATTAAAGTTGTTATTATTGCCTTGTTGTAAACTGCCCAGGGTGGCTTTTGCAGCCAGATGGGTGGTATAATAAACAAACAAATACATTTGACCAAGGAAAATGGTTCACTGTATATTTAGAGGGCTTACATGCTCTTCTAATATTGCTTGAATTAGTTGTGCTTCCTGGTCTTATTGCAGTGAAATGGCTGGAAGTACATCTTGAGCATTTGATTGTTGGCATTGACAGAAAGGATTTTGCAGCTGGGTTTTACCTTGTCTCTTCCACATTGTTGCCTGCTTTGGGGAAAAGAACACTTAATCTTAAGCATCCTTATGGTGAAATAAGATGTGTTAAATACAGTAGGACTGCCACCTAAATAAACATATTGCACTGATCTTCAGAGCTGTGGAGAAGTTACTTTTTTGGACTGCAGCTCCCAGGATCTGCTAGCCAGCATCGCCATTGGCCTGTAGTCCAGTGTACTGAATGCCAAAGAAGAAACATGCCCATGCTCTGAAAGTACATTATTGCCTATTGCAGATCTTACATTGACTGTGTATGTAACCCCTTTCAGTTACTGACAGGTCAGAAGGCAACTGCGAACCATGCTGCTGAGCTCCTGGAGAAGATGTTCTGCAAGCCTAGCTCTAAAAGGAAAACAATAGTACTTGTAGTAGATGAGGTAATGTGGGGTTCTTGCATTGCTGGAATTGTTTTTTTGGCAACCTTATAAATATTACAGAACTAGTTGACTGTTACAGATTTAAATATATGAACAAAGTTTCGATATGTACTATGAAACTGAACAGACACAAAGTATTTATAGACTGGGCTTTTCCCCAAGCATTTTAATGCCATTTTACTCCCAAAGTGCCTTGAAACATTAATAATGAGACAGTCTGTGCCCTTTGGCTTGAAGTATAGAATGCACAACACCTAAAGCAGTAGGGAGCTTCTCTTTCTTTCCCAAGCACAGTGTACAGTGGTGCCTCGACTTACAAACGTGCTGACATACAACCATTTCGAGTTACGACCAGCTCTGGCCGCAAAATTTTGCTTCGACTTGTGACCGGAGCTTCAAGTTACGAACAATAAAGGCAGGGAATTCAAATTGCTAACCGTTGGTGGCGAAGAGGCTGCTTCTTTGTAGCTCTTTCGCCCCAGTAGTTAGAGTGAGTGCAATCGGAGGAGGCTTGGGATTGCCTCGTAAGGTAAGGTGCTGCTTTCTACATTTTAAAAACTGTTCTGGGTAGGTTTTGCAGCGTGGTTTTGGGCTGGGTGGTGGAATTATGTTTCTATGCTGTGCTGGGTCTTGCAGGGTTTCTTTGTTTTTTGGTGCCCTCCCCCCATTACCAACGAGTCTTGTAGGCTTTTTTTTCATTTCTGATGGGTCTTGCACTCTCTGTTTGCTTTTTGGGGTTTTTTGTTTGTATTTCCAGTGGGTCTTGCAGTGTTTGTTTGCTTTTTGGATTTTTTATTTATTTATTTATTTATTTTGCATTTCCAGTGGGTCTTGCACTCTGCTTTTTGGGGTTTTTTTGTTTGCATTTCCGATGGGTCTTACACTCTCTGTTTGCTTTTTGCTTTTCTTTTTTTGCATTTCCGATGGGTCTTGCAGGGTTTGTTTGCTTTTTGGTGTTTTGTTTGTTTGTTTTGTTTTTTTGCATTTCTGCTGGTTCTTGCAGGGTTTGTTTGTTTTTCAGGTTTTTTTTCCTTTGGCTGGAACAGATCAATCATGTTTCCAATGAGTCTTGCAGGGTTTGCTTTGTTGTTTTTTTCCTTTGGCCGGAACGGATTACTTGCTTTTCTGATGGGTCTTGCAATGGGTGTTTGTTTGTTTTGTTGTTGTTGTTGTTTTTGGTGATATTTTTTCTTCGGCTGGAACAGATTAGTTGCATTTCAATGCATTCCTATGGTACGTAGTGCTTCGACTTGCGACCATTTCAAGTTACGACCGGAGTTCCAGAACCAATTAAGTTCGTAAGTCGAGGCACCACTGTATTTATATGGATTAACTGCAGGCTTTCATCCTATAAATGAAACATTTGTGATGCAGAAAAGGAACTATCTCTAATTGGTACATTTGTTAGATATATAGAGACAGATAGCTAAATTTTAAATGTGCACTTTAACATCCTGGGAATTTATGTGTTTATTTGTTTACCTTTATATGACTTTTGAGGATGAGATTGAGCAAGACTTATCCAAAGTTCCATATATTTGCGGAAACATGCATTTGAAATCAGATCTCTCAAATCTTTGCAGAGTCTTTTCTCTTACATTTTCAAGTTATATCATTTTTATCCTTCACCCAGCTTGACCTCTTGTGGACCCGAAAACAGAATGTGATGTACAACCTCTTTGACTGGCCGACCAAAAAGAATGCCAAGTTGATTGTCTTAGCCATTGCAAACACCATGGACTTGCCAGAGAGAATTATGATGAACAGAGTAGCTAGCAGGCTGGTATGTCCTAGCTTTACTATTGTGGTTATGCAACATTCATGACTGTTTAAGGAGGTCAGAGAGTTCTGTGTGAATAATTGAACTAATACAACTTATGAACTGAGAGCTAACAGTTTCCACGAAGATTTTCTTGTTCCTGGACAGGTAATATTTCCTGAGTACACTGTTCTACAGTTTCAGAATGGGATATATAACAGAAAATAAAGATAAATTGAATAACTATTTCTACCCTTATTTTATGGTAAAGTAAATGGCAGCAACAAAAGCATTGGAAGTAAGTCTGAAGTATATACCTGCCCTGAGCATGCCAGTCTCATCTAATTTCTGAAGCTAAGCTTGGTGAGACCTGCTTATTACTTGGCTGGGGAACTACCAGGTGATGCAAGGGATCTCAGGTAAGGCTAGGAAACACTACTGCCTGAAGCTTGGAGAGCTGCTGCCTGTTAGAATTGACAATACCAGTAGTCCAGTAGTAGATCAATAGTCTTATTGAATAAATTATTCTTTATGTTGCTAGTAGTCTACTTGAAATGAAGGCACAGACTTTCATAAGCTGATGACATGTAGCAGGTGCCAAAAGTTCAATGACTGCTTTCATTCTAGGGTCTTACCAGGATGTCTTTCCAGCCATATACGTTCAAGCAATTACAAACGATTATCTCATCAAGGATGAATGATTTGAAAGCATTTGAAGAAGAAGCAATTGAGTTTGTTTCTAGAAAGGTAAACACAATTTCTAGCAGTTGGAAGTTCATGTTGGTTCCTCCCAAGAGACTCATACACACACCCCTGCTTCAACCACATTTGCTGTGGTAGTGGTGGTGGAAAAAACGTGTTCTTCGTAGTCGCTGTGAATGCACACTAATGGGTTTTATCTGCAGAAGTTTCCAGAATCTTCTAGAGCTTAACACTGTTTGCTAGGATGGCCCCCCTAGTACATTTCTTTATGTTGCTGGCAGTCTGCTTGCAATGAAGGCACAGACTTTCATAAGCTGATGACATGTAGCAGGTGCCAAAAGTTCAATGACTGCTTTCATTCTAGGGTCTTACCAGGATGTCTTTCCAGCCATATACGTTCAAGCAATTACAAACGATTATCTCATCAAGGATGAATGATTTGAAAGCATTTGAAGAAGAAGCAATTGAGTTTGTTTCTAGAAAGGTAAACACAATTTCTAGCAGTTGGAAGTTCATGTTGGTTCCTCCCAAGAGACTCATACACACACCCCTGCTTCAACCACATTTGCTGTGGTAGTGGTGGTGGAAAAAACGTGTTCTTCGTAGTCGCTGTGAATGCACACTAATGGGTTTTATCTGCAGAAGTTTCCAGAATCTTCTAGAGCTTAACACTGTTTGCTAGGATGGCCCCCCTAGTACATGTGGTCCGGCCATACTGGCAAGTGCCTCCGTTCCTTTTTGCAGCTGCCGAGGTTTCTTCAACGAGGTCCATTCGCTATTGCGTTCAAAAGGAATTTGTGAGAGACTTTGTGCTTTTTCTCTTCTCCACCGCCCTCCTTTTCCCGTTTTCACGCTTCCCTTTTTGATAGTTTATGGCTTCTTTTAGGCCTTCCAAAAGGTCTACTTCATGCCCCAGTAAAATTCCACTGACCGATGGCCATGACTCTTGTCTCTTCTGCCTTGGTGAGGCCCACCAGCCAGCTTCTTGCCCTATTTGCAAGAAGTTTACTAAGCAAGCTCTTAAATTAAGACAGCAACGTCTCCATTCTTACTTGTGGGAACGTTCTCTTCGCCCTTCACCGAATATGGAATCCATACAGCCACCACCACCTCTGTTACCATCTCCAGACGCTTCTGTGGCCTCCTCAGTAAAGTCCAAATAATGTAAAAGGCGAAACTGCTTGCCAAGATTTTGTGGTTTGACACCCAAATCTACAGTGGTACCGAAATCTCCCTCAGTATCAGAACAGCAGCCAAAACTGAAGAAATCCAAAAAGTTGTCTTCTGCTGCACGGCCTATTAAACATCAGAAAGGCAGACCAGTCTCTTCAGTACTACTTCATGAGCAGCAGACTACCTGCTTTGATTCTCTTTCGGTGGACAACAAGGATTATCTACCTCTGCCATCGGGACAACCACCATCACCTCTGTTGGTACAGTCTCCGTCTTGGGCCGATACTTTGGCTGACGTTACTGTGCTTCCAAAACATGACCAATCGAGCCCTTTGTTTTGCTCCGTCTCCATGTGTCAGTCGGATTCAGCATCTACTTTACCTGATCCGCAACCACCATGCAAGCAGTCCAGGAAGGCACATCATACACCAGAGACTGGTCACTTGGATGTTGATTCCCCTCACCCTCAGGGATCGACAGGACTTCTCACTTTGCATGATTCTCTTACGCAATATTGTCATCCTAAAAGGGTTATTTTATACTCAGGGATTGACAGGACTTCTCACTTCGCATGATTCTCTTACGCGATATTGTCATCCTAAAAGGGTTATTTTATACGAGATGTCCACTTATTATCAAATGCCACCATCACGATATCGACACCACCGATACCACTATGGACATCCTGATATGGATGTTTATGTCAAACCTAAACAACCTTGATACTCTTATTATTATTCAGATTCTGATTCTGACTCACCGCCGAATTTGCCAACTCCAGACTCTGATGTTGCGGATACGAATCCTCCCCCATCCATCAGAGAATTTTTCATCTTACAACTAGCTCTATGCATTGCTAAGGCAATGGACTTAGATGTACAACAACCCTTTACCCTGATGTGTCTTTCCTCCCTGAGGTTGTCTCGGATTTCCACCTTAGTCAACCCATTATCTTACCTACTTTTTTTCTGTTGCCTACCTCTGATCTGGAACGCTCTCTCCACCTTCTGGATATTAGGAGAGCACTAGCTTTTTACGTTTCAAGATCTGTGTCTTTCTGCAAATCCAAGAGACTGTTTCTACACACTTACCACATAGAGGATTGCTTGTTTCCGCCCAAACTATCTCTAAATGAATAGTGGCAACTATACACCTTGCGTATAAATTGGCGAACAAGCCTTTTCCTGCTGGAATTAAGGCTCATTCTGCAAGGGCAGTAGCCACTTCTACAGCTTTCCTCATGGGTGTTTCTGTCCCTGATACTGTATCTGCAGAGCTGCCACGTGGTCCACACCGTCCACCTTTACCTTGCATTACTGTTTGGATCTACAGGCAAAGTCAGACGCGACGTTTGAACAAGCGGTTTTGTCAACTGTTCTTCCATTATATCCCTCCTCCGGACAGGTAAGCTTGCTAATCACCCATTAGTGTGCATTCACTGAGATCACGAAGAAGAAAGAGAGGTTACTTACCGTAACCCTGGTTCTTTGAATGGTCATCTGTGAATTCACACTTCCTTCCCATCCTCCCCTCTGTCCGTCCCATCAAGATTTTTATACAGCGGCGGACTTTGTGGGAACTGAGGCACTTGCCAGGATGGGCGGACCACATATACTTGGGGGGCGGTCCTAGCAAACAGTGTTAAGCTCTAGAAGATTCTGGAAACCTCTGCGCAGGGGCAGATAAAACTTATTAGTGTGAATTTACAGACGACCACTCGAAGAACCAGAGTTACGGTAAGTAACTTTTTGTCTTTTTGTTTTATTTACCACTATTAAAGTACATCATGTGCAAGAAGGCCATTCTTTTTCCCAGGGAAAGTTACCATTTCAGCAGTGTGGAGATAATAAGAATGGGGGAGACCAATTTAGCAAGGTGAAAGGGCAAAGACCAGTATTAGTACATGTCAATATATCTTGGTAATTTTTCTGAGCATTATGGGGAATTATTCTTAAATCTTTTTTTTTTAGGTGGCAGCTTTATCTGGTGATGCAAGACGTTGCCTTGATATCTGCAGAAGGTCCACTGAGATCTGTGAACTTGCTGATCAGAAAAGTGATTCTGGATTGGTCAGCATAACGCATGTTATGAAAGCCACAGATGAAATGTTCTCATCACCATATATAAATACAATCAGGTAGTACAATAATTTGGCTTAATGGTTTCTGATTATCATTCTGATGATAACTTGTACTATGACACATGTGAATTAGCTGTATAATATTTAATGCCCAACTATACGTGACTCATACTCAGCTATCTTTTTTTTTAAATGATTATCACAATCTTTCTTTTTAATATAGTTTTATTAATAAACATAAACAATAATACAGCAACAAAAAGTCTACATGTACACTTATTCTGCTCCCCTTCACTGGGACCCATGGAGATAATCTATTCCTTTTATGGAGCCCAATTCCCCTTCCAAAAATACATTGACTCTTGTGAAGGTACACAACCCTTCTCCTTTGTTAATATAAAATCGATAAATTCTCATGTTAATTTATCATTAATAGCTATATTCCACACTTCGTGTCATTCATTTAGTTGGGGATCGCACTTAACCTCCCAATTCTTTGCTATTCTTAATTTAGCCACTATTACTAAATTTATAATCAGTTATTTCTTTGTCGACTTCCATTGTTCCCTCTCAAATATCAGTAAAAGTGGTATTTTGGGACATATTCTTAGATTTAAATTTAATATTTCACATTTCTTTGAAAACCAACTTTCAAAATGTAATTATATATTCATCTTCTCACCACATATGGAAGTAGGTTCCCACTTCTTGCTTACATCTCCAACATATTTGGGAGGGTTTTGTATCCATATAATTCAATTTCACTGGTGTTAAGTACCATATTTGTAAAAATTTTATTTTATTCTTACAGACATACATTTTAAAATTCTTTTATTCCATAAATTCTTCCACTTCTCAGTACATATTTCCTCTCCCAAATCTGTTTCCCATAGCAACTTTAAAACCTCTTCTTGTTCGCGTACTTCTCTTAATATTTTATAAAGGTTACTTATCATCCCCTTCATTATTTTACACCCATTTTCCTTTTCAATCTGTAATATGATTTCTTCAAATTTTGTAAGCTTTAAACATTTACCATTTCTTCTTACCCATTCTCTTCCAACACTCCAACTGAATAACACTAAGCCATGACAACTTTTCCCTTCCTACCACTTCTATTATTTGCTCTTTAGTATCCATCCTCTCCATCCAGTCTTTTATTCTAATAACCCGTTTCCTCCTTAGTATCTTTTCCAACCTTCCTTGGAAATTCCTTGGAAATTTTCCTAACTCTGTTTACAGAGTGTAGTGGGAAAATTGATGGGATAAATGTTTTTCTGTATCCATTCCAGATTTGCATCAATTTTTTAAAAGGAACTTTCAATCTTCTTTACAATGCTAATATTATTTTGTTGATTATCACAACCTTGATCCCCAGTGTGGTTTAATGGAGTGACAGACTAGGGCTTAGGAGGCCTAGGTTCAAATTCCCACTTAGCCAAGGAAACTCACTGGGGGAGAAGAATTGGTAAAATCACTATTTAAATATGTCAGCTTACTTTGATTTTTTAAATTTTTTATTTAAACCTATACATACAAAACATCTATCATTCTAACAAAGTACAACAAAATACAAAATAAGGGGGAAGAAATAACCCAAAATAAACCCACCCCTCCCCCCTTTAGAGGGCAAAGATTCCAACCTCCTTTGGATCCCAGATTCCCCAGGTTTCTGGTGAGCCAACGAGAGAGCAATGTTCAGCCAGAACATTGTTGCTGCTAACCAGTGTTAACATACCATTGTTTGACATACAGAAGGCAAACCGTTGCTTAGAAATGTATGTCTGCCTCCCCTTCACTTTATTTTACAATGCAGCAGCTTCTTCAGGAAGCCCAGTGACCATAAATTGTTAAATAAAGGTAAAGGTTCCCCTTGACATTTAGTCCAGTCATGTCCGACTCTAGGGCGCGGTACTCATTGCCGTTTCCAAGCTATAGAGCCAGCGTTTGTCCGAAGACAGTTTCCGTGGTCACGTGGCAAGCGTGACTAGACATGGAATGCCGTTACCTTCCCACCGAGGTGGTACCAATTTGTCTACTTGCATTTTTACATGCTTTCGAATTGCTAGGTTGGCAGGAGCTCGGACAAGCGACAGGAGCTAATTCCATCGCATGGATTCAATCTTACAACTGCTGGTCTTCTGACCTTGCAGCACAGAGGCTTCTGTGGTTTAACTTGTTTAATTAGTTAAATAGTGGGTTGCAAATTCAACTGTAAAAAACTATAATAGTGAGAATAAGCTGAGTTTTATCAAAAGTGTTAAATACTGTTTCTCAAAGCAAAGCATATTGTTTACGGATAACATTTTGCTAATTAATCGCATGGAACTTGCTTATTCTCTTTCAGGAATGCTTCACTGCAGGAGCAAATTTTTCTGAAAGCAACGATAGCAGAATTTCACAGGTTAGGACTGGAAGAAGCAACAGTTCATCAGGTAGTCTTACAAATAAGGTCTTTTGTTGTTGTTAAGTCTCGTCCGACTCTTCATGACCCCATAGACCAGAACAAATATAGTCTACATTTGTTTAATTTTCTATCTTAACTGAAAAAGTTTACCTCAGAAGTGGGCAAAATGTGTTACGCATGTTTTTGGGCTGCACCCCCATGTCCCAGCACCCCTCACCATTACCTATGTTGGCTAGAGCTGCTGAGAGTTACAGTCTAGCAACACCCGAGGGGCTACAGTTTTCCCAACACTACTGTAGCCCTATTTAATGGGTGTACCTTCTTACTGGCAATTCTTAATCACAGTTGTTAGAATTACTGCAGTGTAACCTATTCTTCATGTAAATTATATCATAAATATTAATATGATAGGTTTTTCCATATGTGCCAGTTTTTTAAGTCTCTTCAGCAGCTTTCCAAGTTCCTCCCATAAACTTTTCATATAACTGGAAGCAAGTCCATTTGTTAAACTGATTACAATAAAACTGAGAGCCACAAGATTGACCTTCTAATTGTGTATGCTTAGAGATGGAACCTATTTAAAGGTCTATTTTAAAACCTTGAAGTTTAATCCATGTATATTACAGAATCTTTAGAAAAAGAATACTAATCATCAGTTTGAGGACTTTCCCAAGGAAGAGCAAAGGCAATAGTTACTCCTTTTGATGATTCTTTCGTACCTACTGACCTGCTGAGCTCTATGTTTTGGGTTTCTTTAGGTCTTTCATCAGCATGTTGCACTGTGCAGAATTGAAGGCCTGCAAACTCCTACCATCTCAGAAATAATGGCGATTGCCTCCCGACTTAGTGCTTGTAGACTCTTGTTAGCAGAATCAAGTCATAAATACCTTCACATGCGAATTCGACTTAATGTTAGCCAGGATGATGTTATGTATGCACTCAAGAAAGAAGAGTAAAGCAACGGCACCACGCCTGTTAGTGCATGCACGTGTACAGGGGGTTATCTTAAATTTTAAAGAGATTTATTTGAAATAATGGTGCTGACTAAACCTTGAATATGATTTTTTTTATTTTTAAACTTAATTATTTTTTCACTGTGTTTTATCCATTTTATTTTGTGTTTCTGTTTATTAAACATGTTCCAGTTTCCTGAGCTCTTTTTAGATGTGATTTAAATAAATAAATAAATAAATTTTATTAATTATTACCTGTTGTGCAGGCTTATGCTGTCCTTTGTCAAAGTCTATGTATGACATCCAAGCCAAAGTTTGGAAAAGTTGTTTTTGATTGCAGTTGTCAAAACACTCCCAACATACCTCACAAGCACTATCACTGGTGCTGGTAGTCAGGGAAATTCTGGAATTTTAGTAAAATAAAAACCAGAACTTTTCTAAATTCTGACCCTAACTGTCACACTATTTTGCACTATTCTCTCAGTTATGCTTTGCAAACTTATACTGTATCTCATTGCAGCTGAAGGCAAAAAGTGCTAACATTAGTTTTCAGTTCAGGTGGCACAACAAACTGATTAGTGAATACCAGAGAGAAAGCAACCATACAGGTCTTGTGAGATGCTTCTGTTCCTCAGTTATCTTTTGGTATTGCATCCAAAGTGAATCAAAATAATTCATATGGTATTTAGGGCTGTTTAATGGCAACGTAACTGCTTGGAGGGCTAACAGATGTATGTTAAAATCTAGCAGCTGCCTTGGGATTCTTTTGGCCTTATATGAATTAATATGGTAACTAAATTTACATCCATTCACACTTTTATACACCTTTACAACCTTCATTCAGCAGATTGAATAGCAACTAATAAAGGAGATTGCTGTTTAAGTGAAGAAGAAAAAGGAGGAAGACTAGCTAAGCTAGGTTGAAGGACAATTAGGAAGAAGGAAGAGCTGCCAGTGCCAAGGACAACCAAACAGTTATGACAAGATACAGCCAGGTTTGTTAGGGCTAGGGCAAACAGTGTATTCATTGATTGTCAGAATTCGGATTTTAAGCTCTTGCATACTATTTTATTTTCATCTGACAATATGTCAGCTATTTAAGTCCCGTGGACCCACTTAAAGTTCTACCTGGAGACAGAGAATAATTTATTTCTAAATTGTTCTACTTTAGCATTTTTAAAACAGATAATTCGTATCACATTTGAAAGTGTGATTTGTATTACTGTTACAGTGTAACAGTGAACATGAGGCTCATACTAAATACAGTGGTGCCCTGCAAGACGATTGCATCGCCAGACGAAAAACTTGCTAGACGAATAGGTCCGGCGAGGGTTTTGGTGCCTCACAAGACGATTTTTCCTATAGCCCTGTTTCACAAGACAAAGCCCCGGGAGGCTTCTGAAAGCGGTGCTTTCCTGGGGGTGTGTGCTTTTCTCCTCTCCTGCTCCCCCACCTCACAGCTGATTGGCACAGGGTGTCAGAGGCTTCTCCCGGCTTTCCCAGCAGGTAAACAGGCAGTGGAAATGCACCCAGGGAAGCCTCTGAAGCGGGTTTTGCCATGGGGTAGGTGGGTAGGTTTGGCAGGGGCAGACCTGCCCCCCCGGTGGCAAAGTGCTGCTTTCAGAAGCCTCCCGGGGCTTGTTCAGCAGTGGAAAAGCACCCGGGAAGCTTCTGAAAGCCGCGCTTTGCCGCAGGAGGGCGGGCCTGCCACCCCACCCACCCCTGGCAAAGCGCCGCTTTCAGAGGCTTCCCCGGTGCATTTCTACTGCCTGTTTACCTTTTGGGCAAGCCCAGGGAAGCTTCTAAGACCCAGCGCCAATCAGCTCTGAGGCGGGGGGAGAAGCTGGAATGGAGAAGAGCACAAAATGGCTGTCGGCTCCCTGCTGGGTGCCAGCTCTGAGCTGTTTGGCACTCTTTTTCCTACTGTTTTGGGGCTACCAATGCAGTGTGAGGAGCTGGGCTCAGTCTGGTAAGTGATTTATTTTAATATTTTTGTTTTGGACTTTTTCCCCATAAGAACGCATTAATTAAATTTCAATGCATTTCTATGGGAAACCGTGCCTCTAGACGAAATTTTCACTAGACAGCATTAGCCATGGAACGGATTAATTTTGTCTTGCGAGGCACCACTGTAGTGAAAAAGGTCCTACAGATTTTTTAAACTTCAATATGACATTATAAATAACTAAGTGTTGCAAGTTTGCACTGGAAGTAATGATACATTTAAGCCACATTGGATCAAAATTTTATTGTAAATGTAACAATGCTTTAAAGTTACTTATTTTATTTTACGAAAACAAAAACCTCTGTTGATCTTGATATAACCATGCACACACATGGAATTCCCTCCACAATCCTATTCTGAGAAGATGCTCAGGTTGAAATGAGCCCCTGTTAATTTTCCCATCCAATATACTGAAAACGCACACGCTTTCCCCTTCTTTTAACACCTCCCAGACAATCAAATCCACCTCCTCCCCCTTGTCATCAGCTAAACAGACTTCTAATGCCTCCTTCCTCTCTCCCTTCTCTTGTTCTATTTCTACTAACACCCCTCTATACATCCATGGTCTCCCTCAACGATGGGTGGTGTCCTGGAGGACGGGACACTGGTAGCTCCTTGCTCACAAACTCCCAAGTCCTAGCCTTCCTCACTATTAGCTATGCTGACTCATACTGATGTGAGCTGCTGCCTAACATCTGGAGGATTACAGCTGGACCTCTGCAGTACAAAATCTCCAATTTCCATCCCAGATCATTGATATTAAAAGCTACAGTGTGTACAGGGTATTGCTGGAATTTCACTCTGCCTTTCCTTTTGGACAAAGATTATATTAGAGGCTTTTCAACCCTGCATGCTGCCTTTAGTACAATGGTTCTTAAGTCCCCATATGTTCTAGGTCTACAACTCCCATAAATCCCAGCCAGCACAGCTAGGGGTGAAGGCTTCTGGGGTTTTTAGTCCAAGAACATTTAGGAACTCTAGTAGGGGTGGCTGGGAGAGACCTTTCTGGGCTGGGGTGACTTATCTATTCAGCACTAATTGTTCCTTTCCTGCCTCTGAATTCAAAGAGAGTCACACCTCTCTCTTTTAAGACTTTTTTCCTCCAATTTTACTGAAGTCTGAGTTGCTGAAAAGCAGTCATATTTTGTCAGTTCGCTGTTCGATCTGTTCAGTTGTATGTAAATGAACCCTTTTATTATTTCTCCAACTAATATCTCAGAGTGCCTATTCAGCACTAATTGTTCCTTTCTTGCCTCTGAATTCAAAGAGAGTCACACCTCTCTCTTTTAAGACTTTTTTCCTCCAATTTTACTGAAGTCTGAGTTGCTGAAAAGCAGTCATATTTTGTCAGTTCGCTGTTCGATCTGTTCAGTTGTATGTAAATGAACCCTTTTATTATTTCTCCAACTAATATCTCAGAGTGCTTATTGACCTGTAAGTGCCAGTTAATGAGAAACAGGGTGGACTGATCTGGAGAATTTGAAGCTAATTCGGTTCTATGAGTCCCTGCACTTCTGCTGTGCAGATAGAGGAATTTACAAAAAAACCTCAAAACTGCAACAGATTAAACCAGACCTGAAAGCCCAACATCCATCACATGCAAGAGAGTTTGGAACGGGTTAGCTTGGCTTGCAATGCACATCGCAGCCTGGGTTTACCCCACAGAGATCAATGTAGCCTATTTCTGAGTTTGCGTGGGATTGAACTCAGGAACCTACTCGCATGCAATCCAGCGCCTCAAGAGAAAAGAAAAATCTGGCCCTGCGGTTGACGTTTTGGGTTTCTTGCCGCGGTGGCAACCCACCCTTCTAAGAAAAATCAGGTCTTATTGACATGGCTTTACGAAATATTGAAAAGGGAAGAAAACAGAATTGCAAAACTGGGAATATCTGGGTTCAAGCGTAAAGAAAGAACTCAGCCTGCGTAAACACAGCTGTCTGTCAACAGGCAGAGACACAAAAGGCCTCAGTCGCGCGACAAGGCAGACGGCGCCTTGCCCCTGCAGACTGCGTAAACACAGCTGTCTGTCAACAGGCAGAGACACAAAAGGCCTCAGGCGCTCGACAAGCCAGACGGCGCCTCGCCCCTCCCCTCCCCCCGCCTTTCCCTCGTAACCAACAGCCCCGCCCTCGCGCTCCCTCGGCGTGCCCTGCAAGACGATTGCATCGCCAGACGAAAAACTTGCTAGACGAATAGGTCCGGCGAGGGTTTTGGTGCCTCACAAGACGATTTTTCCTATAGCCCTGTTTCACAAGACAAAGCCCCGGGAGGCTTCTGAAAGCGGTGCTTTCCTGGGGGTGTGTGCTTTTCTCCTCTCCTGCTCCCCCACCTCACAGCTGATTGGCACAGGGTGTCAGAGGCTTCTCCCGGCTTTCCCAGCAGGTAAACAGGCAGTGGAAATGCACCCAGGGAAGCCTCTGAAGCGGGTTTTGCCATGGGGTAGGTGGGTAGGTTTGGCAGGGGCAGACCTGCCCCCCCCGGTGGCAAAGTGCTGCTTTCAGAAGCCTCCCGGGGCTTGTTCAGCAGTGGAAAAGCACCCGGGAAGCTTCTGAAAGCCGCGCTTTGCCGCAGGAGGGCGGGCCTGCCACCCCACCCACCCCTGGCAAAGCGCCGCTTTCAGAGGCTTCCCCGGTGCATTTCTACTGCCTGTTTACCTTTTGGGCAAGCCCAGGGAAGCTTCTAAGACCCAGCGCCAATCAGCTCTGAGGCGGGGGGAGAAGCTGGAATGGAGAAGAGCACAAAATGGCTGTCGGCTCCCTGCTGGGTGCCAGCTCTGAGCTGTTTGGCACTCTTTTTCCTACTGTTTTGGGGCTACCAATGCAGTGTGAGGAGCCGGGCTCAGTCTGGTAAGTGATTTATTTTAATATTTTTGTTTTGGACTTTCCCCCCATAAGAACGCATTAATTAAATTTCAATGCATTTCTATGGGAAACCGTGCCTCTAGACGAAATTTTCACTAGACAGCATTAGCCATGGAACGGATTAATTTTGTCTTGCGAGGCACCACTGTAGTGAAAAAGGTCCTACAGATTTTTTAAACTTCAATATGACATTATAAATAACTAAGTGTTGCAAGTTTGCACTGGAAGTAATGATACATTTAAGCCACATTGGATCAAAATTTTATTGTAAATGTAACAATGCTTTAAAGTTACTTATTTTATTTTACGAAAACAAAAACCTCTGTTGATCTTGATATAACCATGCACACACATGGAATTCCCTCCACAATCCTATTCTGAGAAGATGCTCAGGTTGAAATGAGCCCCTGTTAATTTTCCCATCCAATATACTGAAAACGCACACGCTTTCCCCTTCTTTTAACACCTCCCAGACAATCAAATCCACCTCCTCCCCCTTGTCATCAGCTAAACAGACTTCTAATGCCTCCTTCCTCTCTCCCTTCTCTTGTTCTATTTCTACTAACACCCCTCTATACATCCATGGTCTCCCTCAACGATGGGTGGTGTCCTGGAGGACGGGACACTGGTAGCTCCTTGCTCACAAACTCCCAAGTCCTAGCCTTCCTCACTATTAGCTATGCTGACTCATACTGATGTGAGCTGCTGCCTAACATCTGGAGGATTACAGCTGGACCTCTGCAGTACAAAATCTCCAATTTCCATCCCAGATCATTGATATTAAAAGCTACAGTGTGTACAGGGTATTGCTGGAATTTCACTCTGCCTTTCCTTTTGGACAAAGATTATATTAGAGGCTTTTCAACCCTGCATGCTGCCTTTAGTACAATGGTTCTTAAGTCCCCATATGTTCTAGGTCTACAACTCCCATAAATCCCAGCCAGCACAGCTAGGGGTGAAGGCTTCTGGGGTTTTTAGTCCAAGAACATTTAGGAACTCTAGTAGGGGTGGCTGGGAGAGACCTTTCTGGGCTGGGGTGACTTATTGCTTCCCCCCTTTGCCCCTCCCCCTTGGTGGGAAGGCTGGTCGTTCATTGAACCTGGGACGCTGCCTTGTTCCTGGTCCTCTGAAGCCCCTAAGAGACCCGAGGAGAGAGAGGGGCGTGAGAGGGATCGTAATGAACTCACTACTGGCCCTCGTTTTCTGTTTTGACTTTGGGTTGAACTGATTCACACGTGTCTGAACATCAGTCGGCGGCTAAATGATTACACGACTCCTCTGGGTCCTGCCTTCGTGAAAGCGTCTTTCTTGGGCAAAACTTCAACAGATTAAACCAGACCTGAAAGCCCAACATCCATCACATGCAAGAGAGTTTGGAACGGGTTAGCTTGCAATGGTCTACACATCGCAGCCTGGGTTTACCCCACAGAGATCAATGTAGCCTATTTCTGAGTTTGCGTGGGATTGAACTCAGGAACCTACTCGCATGCAATCCAGCGCCTCAAGAGAAAAAAGGGTTCTGGCCCTGCGGTTGACGTTTTGGGTTTCTTGCCGCGGTGGCAACCCACCCTTCTAAGAAAAATCAGGTCTTATTGACATGGCTTTACGAAATATTGAAAAGGGAAGAAAACAGAATTGCAAAACTGGGAATATCTGGGTTCAAGCGTAAAGAAAGAACTCAGCCTGCGTAAACACAGCTGTCTGTCAACAGGCAGAGACACAAAAGGCCTCAGTCGCGCGACAAGGCAGACGGCGCCTTGCCCCTCCCCTCCCCCCGCCTTTCGCTCGTAACCAACAGCCCTGCCCTCGCGCTCCCTCGGCTCCGCCCCCTTCGGCCTCTCCCCTCTGACAGAAAGAAATAAACCCCCGCGCCTGCGCGTTGCGGGGCCCCTTGGTGCAGCCCCTAGCTGAGCCGGAGTGGAAAGTACGCGCCTCTTTGGGGCTGTGCCTTCCTGGCTGCTGCGCTGGAGCCCGTCGGCTGCGGCAGGAGGTGAGCTTGTGCCTTTGGGGCGCCGGCCGTCTGGCTCGGCCGGG